TCTGTCGAACTCGCAAGTCAATAATATTTTGATACTGATCAGTTGCTACGCAATCGGGCGAAACGCTTGATTGATTTTCTACGGTTGCCGTTTAATTTCTAATATATTTTGTAACAAACATGCCACGGCTGTAAATTGCGGGGTGGTGGACACCCCCGCAAAAATAAAAATTTGTTCTTTGCCCCCAGCGAAAATTAAAATTTTTTTTCTGACTCCCGCCCAAAAAGATTTTTCGCTGCTCGAAGTTTCAAAAACTTTTTTGGTGGGGTAATAGCAAATAGAGTTCGAACTGTTACAGTAGCTATTACGTGTAATGTTTTAAAATCTTCGTTTCGTACTCTAGCTAATGGTATGTTGCTTAAGTATACAGCATATTATCCGTTCATATGGTGCAGTAAATAAGGAGAGTTGTTTTCAAATCATATCAATTTTTAACGTATGCTGAGGGGAGGATGATTTATTCCATCGACTACTTTCATACATATTTGTGATCTATATGGAGCGTACTTCAAATGCTGAATGTATAAATGGTGATTGATGCTTTATTCCTGAGAAAATTGACCTTCATTTTACCAAAAAAGATGTATCAGGATTTTTTTAATATCTTCCGAAATAAACCATTTTTTTTGAAAAAATCCACACTCTATGGCGACCTTTTACGCCGAATTCGATTCTAACATTGGTTTTTAATTACAACTATAAAAGAAGTACTAACTTTCTGTTCATCGTGGAAATAATCAAAAGTTTCTAGATAGTAAAAGATTAATATCGATATATCTAATATAGATATATATTGCATCAATGAAAAATTCTTCTTTTAAAATTGTTTTCTTTTCTTTATAGGTTTGAATGATATAAAGAGTTCAATGGCAGCTGTTGACGGAAAGAAACCGGGAAAGATAGTTACAAGAAAGTTTTATGTACCGTGCGCAGTTATATTGTGATAATTTTTGTCGTATTCATGTTATTAGGAGATCAAGTTCCAATGACTCATTTTTTTTGTAAAAGCTCGAAATTTCATTTGAAACGTTTTCTTTAATTACAGTTGCTGTCATCACTAGAGTCCATGAGAGACATGATAGATCCACACTATCATCGTTTACTGCGAGCGGGTTTTCAAAATTTGTTTCTAGTCCTTAGTAGTCCCTGGGAAGATCGGAAAAACTTTTTTCTTTTTGTAATACGAGTTTAATTGGGTCAGATGCGCGTTGAAAGGAGCTTTTGATTCATATATCATAAATCTAGGTTCGGAATTATTTTGATCAAAATAAATTGATTTCAATAGATATTAGACTAAGATAAAGGTGAAACCTTCCTTTTTTGGCCAGAAGTAGAGCTCTACTAGATGCATATGTACTATAAAAATCTTCGTTTAAAAATGGATGAATCTGGATTTTGCAGTTCAAACAAATTTCATGCGTAATGGGACATCTAGTGTTCTATATCGACCATAATTAAGGTTCTGAAAATGCTTCCAAACTATAAACAAAACGTCTATTTTATTTGGAGCCACATAAGATGTTCAACAGAAAAATATCAGAGAAAATACACTTTGTTTTAAAATTACTGCAAGATGAGTAACAGATGCAGCCGTTATTTCAAAAGAAAATATACACAACGAAGTGTCCAGAGTAAAATTAAAAGAATTATTAAAATCCGATGTATGGAAGAGGAGTTATAAGCTGAAATATGAACTTTGCAAGAACAGTACATATACATTACAATACTTCCATACAAAGAATTCGTTTTCTCGCTTTGAATATTAGTATTAACGAAAATTTTTGGAATATGAACTATCCCATTTGAAACACTACATCTTTCGTGATAGATGGAGCCTCAGAAACTTAATGGTAACTATACGTTTGACGGAACCAACACGATATTTTTCTCTCGTTCTTTTTCTTTTATAGGATAAGAATAATTGTATTTATAGACAAGGAGAAAAATAAAGAAACGATAAAAATTTGACCTGAAATAAGAAAGAAAAGAAAAACCACATGAGTCGATATAAAAAGAAAAACAAAAAAAAGAAATAAATCGCGTACTATATCTATACCATGATGCAATTGTCTTTTCCATGTGAACATATCGTTGCAACAGATTCAAACTTTGTCACTGAATAAGTATTTCAAAACATTTTCATATGATTTTTCGATGTCCAGTAACATATTAGTTTCTAAGTCGCATTTTAACACAATGAAATGACGATAGAATAAATTAAATTAGGAAAAAGCGCTTATATCTTATTGCTATTTTTTTATCTGTTTACTATATTTTAACTAAAAAATATGAAAACAGTCTATCGTACTTTAATAAAACGTCATCAAATATCATCCTTATTTGTTTCAAAACGTTTAATCACAAATACCAAGCAGCCAACACTCTATGAAACTCTGAAAGTTGAAGAAATAAGTCGTGATGTCTTTGAACAGCCTACTGCAACATTGCACGTTTTACCCGGTCGTCATTCCGTATTTGGTGGACAAATTATCGGTTCATCAATGTATGCAGCACAAAAAACTTTAACCAAAAACTATCCTCTTCATAGTTTACATTCATATTTTCTCATGGCGGCCGATAATTCTCAGCCAATTTATTATCAAGTCACTCGTTTACGTGATGGAAAATCATTTGAAACACGAAGTGTTACTGCTCGTCAAGGTGATCATACAATATTTCAATGTGAAATGTCATTTCATCGTCAAGAACATTCTCAAATGGAACATCAACCACTGATGCCAGAGATAGACTGTAAATCACCCGAACAGTTATTATCGATGTACGAAGTGATACAAAATTTATTAGTTGATAAACGACTAAAACCAGAATTAAAACTGCTTATTGAACTGGCTCTACAAACGCCATTACCACTTGATATTCGATATTGTACACAACGTGATTTTCTTCAACCAGAACCAATTTATCCAGCTAGACAATTAGTATGTACGACGAGTAATATGTTTTATTAACTAAAACTAACTGTCTGAATTCTTTTAGGTATGGATGAAATCGTTGGAGTCATTACCAGATGATCCTCACTTACATCGTGCTGCTGTTGCATATGCAAGCGATTGGGTATTATTAACAACTGCATACTTACCATATGGTATTAATAATTATCATCCACGTATTAAAATGCAAGCGAGTCTTGATCATGTCATGTATTTTCATGATGATTTTTCCTTTAATGGACAATTAAATCAAGAATCCACACTATCAAAACCCATTCGTCGTAGTCCATTAATACCAAAAATGCCACCAAAAGTAACAGTGAGAGCTGACGATTGGCTACTATATGAAATAATATCACCGATTGCTGTCAATAACAGAGCATTAACTTTTGGTAGAATATGGACAAGAAATGGACGATTAGTAGTGTCATGTATTCAAGAAGGAGTCATACGTTTTACATAAAAGATCAATATATCACTTTTTATATTGTATGTTTTATATACAATTGTTTATTTTTATTGTAGGTCAATTTTTAAATATTTTTTTTAGAAGAGTAGAGAGAAAAAATTTTCTTTATTATAGTGAAAAGTAAAAAAAAAGTGCTAAATCTTGAATTCTCACCTCAAACAGAAAACAATATAGCACGAATATTTCTACATTTGTTGTATAATACAAAAAAAAGTTAATTTTTTTGCCCTAAATAATCTAATTGTTGTGCCATAAATAGACACTTTTAATTCAAAAAATATACAGTTTACATTCATATATGTTCTATAAATTTAAAAACCAATACTTTATAAAGATTTCAAGTAAGTAAACAAGAATATTTTCTATTTTATGACTTTATCGTTGTTTGTCCTCTTGAATATATTTCAGCTAATGTCATTGGTTCATTTACTGATAGTTCATAGCCTAATTCTTTACACAAAGCTTTTGTTTGTTCAATTGATAATTTATCAAATTTGTGTTCAACAATTAGACGTCCTTCTCGTAACAATGCTGGATCAATACCTGTGACATCACAATTAAATGTTGTTAATATTTGTTGATGCATAGCATCACCCAGAAGGCCATCAGATAAATTTAATAAATTTGCTACAGCTTGATTTGGATTAGTTTGATCTTTACGATTTAATATAATATTTTCAGAATCTTCAACAATTAATATTGAATTAGGATGTTGCATTAAAAAGGGAATAAAACTTGGTTTTGACATTTCCTATTAAATATGAAAACGAAACATTTTTTAGATTTAAACGTATGAATAAGGGTATGAAACACATACCGTCACAAGATCAGGTGGTACATAAATTAAACTTTTTTCTTTAATTTCATTGATCAAATAGCGAATATAATATGTTTTTCCTGTACCCGGTAAACCATGTAGAAATGCAATACCTTTACTATCGGGTTCTTTCAACGTTTTAATTAATTTTTCATGTATCTTTAAAAATTCTTCACCATAATTTAATTTTAAATCTTTAATTACTGGTCGTTTGATGTTGATGGAAGATGTATAAAAACCACTCTGAGATGTGTAACATACCATTTGTAAAGTTGTTTCTTTGATTACGAACAATTTATAGTTACATAATTGAGATAATAATAATTTGACTTTATCCAAATTTTGAGGAATATGATAGATCTATAAAAAATATATCATATCAAGAGAACATTAAAAGACAATAAAAGTAAAAGTCTTACTTGAATACAGCGAAAACAATCAAATTGATTGTCTTTTTCTATATCTGGTTTTAAATTCAACGGATTGTCCATGCGCTCCGTACTTACATAACCTTGAGATAAATAAATTGTTAAATAATTTTCTAAATCGATATAAATTTCTTGATAGCAGAAATGTTTATTTTCTGTGTCATAATTCATTGTATACAGAAATGTACTTGGATCACATTTGTATTCATCGATTAAGAAGTTAATTATACTATGAAACGAAAAAAATAGAATCTTACACCTAGCTAGCAAGACTGAATTGTAAAATTTGTTTATGTTGATTAGCAAGAATGTGCCGTGAAATACAACATTTAGACAAGTAGTTAAGTGTTCTTAAAACTGTCAAATTCGTTTACCTCGTTGCGTGTAGTGATGTACCATCAATGTAGTGGTTTACCACTGCTGTTTGAATACATGGAATAACACCATATTTAGCATTAAATAACTGCCCACCGAGAATACCATTACTCAAGTCCAATATCTTTTCTTTTTTGTATGATGAGTCAACAATACCAGCATATTTCTTGGACGGTTGAATAGTAGTGCTGACACTCATTTTTGATTAATGTACAAGATGGGAGTTTCTAACTTGAATAGAAAAAGCGAGTGATCATTTTTATCTATTATTTTATAGCGATCATTTGCGAGCTCGATGAATATTTTTATACTTTTGAGTAGAGTAAAGTCTTCTGAATCAACTGGTAAACGCGTTTTCAGAATCAGACACAAATTAAGAGAATGCGATTCGTGTATGTTACAAATCCACAGAGGAAAATCGTCTTCAATTTTGGGTGACCAACATACTCATTAAACAAAGTCAGAAATTCGCTTACGTTTCATGCGATTAAACAGGAAAAACCATTGATCGGTTGAAAATTTCACTTACAAACAAGAGTTTTCCTTCCAATAAAACGAACTTTTAATAGAGAAGATTACGTTTGTTTGTCGTTCACATTAGGATCAAAACTTCTCTTTCTATTCAAATTAGAGAACAAGTCTCTAATGTGACGGATCGAAACGAATCGCACTCTCTTAATTTGTGTCTGATTCAGAAAACCTGTTTATCAGACGATTCAGAAGATTTGGCTCTACTCAAAAGTATAAAAATATCTGTCGAACTCGCAAGTCAATAATAT